GAGAAGGTTACAAATGGTGATCACATGACTCCGAGATGATGCAAATGTCATAAATACATGCTAGTTGCCAAGTGCCCAAATTTTGATCATGTGACCAGTCATAAGTGACCAGTCATAAGTGTGAAAACTGATCATTAGTCAATTTTTGCAGTGCTGTTGTAACTTCACAGGGTCACTGAACAAATAGTTGTAAGTTCTGGACTAGCTGTAAAGAAACATAGAAAGGAAGAAAAAGAAATTTGTCCATAAAATGGCCAATATTGATCTGATCACACAGCCTTTTTTATTTATTGGTGAAATGGTCTTTCTATTCCCCCCCCATTTTCTATTTTTCTATAACTATGCATTTATCATAGAAATAATCAAATGTATACAGTACATAAAGACAATTTGTGTTTTAAATAATGCATTCCCTATTCCTCCTACTCATGTTCCTTCTCTCTCTTGAGGTTTCTCTAGCGAAGCAACATCATCAAATTATTTTTGTTACAGCAACAGAGAATGAAAAAAAAATCCCCATTTTATACCTTTTTCTCTGAGCCACCAGTTTCCTCATACAGTCACATTTTATCCCATTATAGTCATGCTACCATGCAAGCACTCTCATGGTTGGCTGCCAAAGATCATGTGTTGACCAGTAACCTCCTTCAGGTGCCAACAGTGATGTGCAAAATTTAACACTCCTGCTATTGCTCCTACCCCCATTCTTTGTCATGGCTCACTACAGGTAGTCCTCAACTTATAACCACAACTGAGCCCAAAGTGTCCATTGCAAAACAAACAAGACCTTTCTTGTTAAGTGAATCATTGCAGTTGTTAAGTTAGCAATCTTGTTAAGTGACTCTGGCTTCCCCACTGACTTTGCTTGTCAGAAGGTCACAAAAGAGGATCACATGACCCCGGGACAGTGCAACCGTCATAAATATATGCCGTTGCCAAGCATCTGAATTCTGATCACGTGGTCATGGGGTTGCTGCAACTGTTGTGTAAAAACACAGTATAAGTACCTTTTTTACTGCTGTTGTAACTTTTAATGGTCACTAAATGAATAATTGTAACTCAAGGACTACTTATATATTTATTTCTCAGGGAGGGGAAGGGAAACCTAGCCAGTGTGTCATCACCTTTTGGATTGACTGGAAATAATGTGCCAAATCACTCTGACACCTCAACTTCTGGAGGGGAGAGGGAATCCCACACACCAGGAGGCAGGAAAAAGCAAGAGTGTTTGCCAGTGGGAAACCAACTAACCCACAGCTGCAAAGGAAATACTGTAAAACAATCTTTGCAGCTAAAATGAGGAAGTTAACGAAGTCAGCAGAATTGCAGAAACTCTTTCATGTACTGAAAACAGGTGTGTAGTGCAAGATTCAGGTTGCTGCAATCCTTTTACATGGAAAGATGTATTTCCAGGGAATAAAGCATACTGGCAGGGGAATTCTGGGAATTGCAGTTCACACATCTTAAAATGTCTAATGTTGAGAAACACTGGAATAGAGCTTGGAAGATGAAGCCGATGACTTGAAAGAAACTGCTCAAAGTTCTTACAGACTCCTTTATGACTTTTCATTCCATACCAAGTTTTGCAGTCATAAAACTTAGAATGCAATCTGGGTCTGATGAAATAGCAATATCTGTAAACATCTCACTGCTTTCCACAGGAGGATCAAATGCAGTCTGGAATTGCTTCATTTGGAGTAGATTCTACCCTGGCTAAATAATAGACTGGCCAGATTTATTTTGTTACTTGCTGACTTCAGCAAGAGCAAGATTGGCACAGAAACTCTGCAAGTAAGTAAGTAAGTAAGTAAGCAAACAAACAAACAATAAACTGGAAAAGTAATGAAAAACAACCACTGCCCATGTCGTGAGTCTTCTAAAGTTGCCAGTGATGCCCACAAAAGCAGCATTCATTAAGTGCCTGCAGCACATGAATTACTTGGAAAGTTCTTTTAATAATCAGCCAGAAAAGGCCACCCAGTAAACGCAACAGTTTTGTTCTCAAGCACAACTGCATCCTTAGAGGCTTGGAGAGCATTCAGCCTCCTTAGAACCAATGGCAGAGAAATTTAGCAGCAATATTCATTTGGATGAGGCAGTCTGGATGTTAAATCTGGTAGTATCCAAAGGAAGGATGCACAAGTTTATTTTTTTCCCCCAGTTCAACAAGCCTTCATTTGGGAAAACCCCTTTGCCTATCCTTCTCTTCCTTTCTGCGTTTATTGACAAAAAATAATGTTTTCCAACATTCCTTTATTTATTGTTTTGTATTTTTCATTCTTTTAATAGCAGGTGGCAGGGCAGCTAATGACCAAATGTGAGAGAATGCAATATAATTGACAAAATAACATAATAGGCAGTAACGGTCAGCATAAACAAGAAAGATATGTATTTCTGTAATACACACACACACACACACAGAGTACAGCATAGTCCAGGCCTCTGCTTCAGCTCTTCCAGGTTGCACAGCTAATAAGAATTCTACCTTGTTCTGGATATATTTTCAATAAAAAAAGAGGAGCCATTGTAACAATTAATCATACACCAGTTGTTGAATCTCACCCTCTCAGCACTCTGCAGCACTGAATGATAGATGGAAATGTTTACTATATTCCCCTTTGGACTCAAGAGAGATAGGAGTGGATTTTTTGCCAGCATTCTGTAAGGATTTGGCTTAATTCCAAAGTGCACAAAGGGAAAAAAGGGGAAAAAAAGCTCAAACTTCCTTTATGTATTGCTCGTTTTTTACTACATTCTCACGCCAATTAATTTCTGTTGAAGGAAAGAAATTAATGCCAAACCAAGATTTATTAAACATCATTTTGGAAGTTCAGGGAATTCAAAAAGACTGGTAAATAATTATAGATCTTCAAAACTTAAGATGTAGTTTTTCTTCCAACAAATTCCTGCACTTCATTCTGATGCTCAAGCAACGAGTGCTGTTAGTTATGAAGCCAAAATGGAAACACCTATTCAAAGAATTTAATGATGATGTCAAAATGTTTGAGAGAATGTTAAGTTTTGAAGATGGGCAAAATGAGAATGTTTAATAGTTAACATATGCTGGGAACTTTTTCTCTCTTAATGATGTCACAAATCACTAATACTTAAATTGAATATTTGTGGGGGGTTTAAAATTTATCCCCAAACTTACTTTAAAATGTTGCCACTCCAGAAAAAATTCAAGGGATGAGGGTCATTTGTAATTCAAGTGTTTTGTTTTTTGCAAAGCATAATTCATAGATTAAGAGACATGTGGACTCAACCCAATTTATGGGAATAGCTGCTAGCATAGTTTGAACTAACATCATATTTTAAAGTCATTCTAATACTTCTGTTCTTCAAAGAAGTTTTCTATACTTTGTCAATGGGATTTTTGTACCGAGTCCGACCATAGTCTAACATTTTACATACAGGATCAGGTACTAATGGATGAATGACTCACTACCAATTTATGTGAAAATTGCCTCATATGGAATCTATTGCATTCCGTAGAAAAGTAGTGCTGCATTTATATGATGCTTTTATGAAAAGTACCAGATACGTATCATTATGCTTTCAATACTAACCTGAGTGCTGGGAATTAAAATACATTTCTTTATTTATAGATAGACTTACATAAGTATCACATTTAAGAACAATATTAAGATAGTAGTAAGAAAAAACATTTCCTAACTCCACAACAACAAGGGAGCCCGAATCAGTGCAATTCAGAACATATGTACAAATTTATGAAGCGGTGATAATAACATCAGAAATTTTAAAACTCTGCACTTCTAATGTTACAAAAGCAGATTTTTGCTGCCACAACTGTCATTTTTATTGCTCCTCGCATCTCTCTATCTGTCTCCTGAATCTGCTAAAGAAGGTCTCCTAATCTTGAATCCATGCTGTAGATGGGCTATAACCTAGTTTATAAAGGCCAAGACAACATAATCTCAGTTGACTGGCAGAGAGAAGTGCACAACTTTCAAGTTTAAAGTCAGCTAACTATAATTCATAGTCTTCTGCAACTTAACAGGCATCCCTTCCCCCAAACACCTGCATTAGACTACATGTTTTTATCCCTCACATATTAAATTCAACATTTAACAATGGCATTTTCTTCTTTCTCCCCTCATTTCTTGCTGCTTGTACAATTTAGAGTCTGATCCCCACTGAGTTATTCTGGGGAAAAAAAGATACTTTTTGTTTCTTTTAGAATGGACATATAATATTATTTATTTCTTACAACCCATGAAAACTTAATCCTAGAAAATACATTATTCTAATTCCTAGGAAGCATGGATCTCATCTTTTCCATGCTTAGAAATTTTTCTAATAGATCAATAGTAGGTATTAAATTTCTATATTTATTGTCATGAAGAGAAGATAGCTGGGGATCTAGATCAGCCTTCTCCAAGATAGTGGTCTCCAGAAATAATGTGGCTGTAGTTCTCATAATTCATAGTCAACAGGACAAAAAGCTTGAAATTCTGGAAATTGTGGTCCCTGTCTATCTAAATGGCACCAGTTTGAGAAGGATGATTTCCAACTTTGCACTGTCTTAAAAAGAAACAAGATTTGGGACTTGTTCCCAATCCTGCTGAAGTGAGAACATCTATATATATGTATGACTATGCTAAGAACTATACAGTTTACTTCTTGGATTATGGATGTCTACAGTGTATATGTGTATCTAGAAGAAAGCTGGATACCCAAACCTTTATCTTCTTACCTTTATCTTTTCCATAGCTCAACCAAAAATCACTGAAGAAAAGGAGTGATGAATATTTCATCGATTCTTTGCAGGAATCAGTTTAATAAGAGCTTCAAAGTTTATACTGAAGCAATGGCTTCTGACATCATCTACAACTATCAACTGGACGTGTGGTTCTAGATCAGGGGTGTCAAACTCGCCATGTGACGTGACGTATCATGACTTTTCCCCCATTGCCGGAGCTGGGGTGGGTGCGGTTTTGGCATGACACATCTGGCCCGTGGGCCGGCAGTTTGACACCCCTGTTCTAGATTATTGCTCTTCATTTACAATTGAGAAAAAAATCCAGACTGCTTTTACCTCCCAAATTGGCCACGCTATTTAAAATATATCATGACAATAAATATGCTAATAAATTGACTACAAAGCAACACAAACTGTTCAGTGCCAAATGTACACGAAGTGTTTTGTAGACTTCAGTATTACTGTATAAAATTGAGGGTAAAACTCTAATGCAATGATTATTTGGGTAAGCTTGCTTCCTGCAAATCTTTTAGCACAGAAGGCAAGTCAATCATGACAGGTAAGATGACTTTCTTCAAGCTGGCACTCCTTACAAATATGTTAAGACTAAAATTTCTAGCCTTTGGCCATGCTGGGTAGGCGTGCCGATAGCTGTAGAAGCAATACATCAAGAAGACACCAGGTTGCAGGAAGCCTGGGTAAGGCTTCTGAATGTTATAGAGGAATTATGACAAATGTTGTTAGTTAAGAAGATGACCTTGAAGAAAAAGCAACAATAGCTTCAAAAGTTCTCATAAGTATCTTATGTCATGTCTCTTTTATTTGATACTACCAATGCAGCTATGAGAAGCATTTTGGAATCATCATTCTTGCCTCTTTGATCTATTTAGTTCTAGAGACCAATTTGTTTCCTGAAAGCTTATGAGCAATTTGGATTGAAAACAATGTAAATCATAAAATAAAACATTAAAAATAAATATCAAAGAATGCCAAACCATTTAGTTCAACTGCTAGCAATAAGTAGCAATCAGGATGGCTATTGGGTTTGCCATATCTTTGCTAACCAAGGAATGTTTCAAGTATCAAGGAGCTGCACTCCTTATTTTACATAGCACCAAATGGTTTCGAGACCATCGATGGGTATTGTGCAAATATCCCTCCTATTTCTAAGGGATTTCAGCTCAGCTCTCTTTAACTAGTACATTTGTCAGCATTCTTCAACCACGGTCCCAATCAAGGAATATAATTTTTTCTTAATTAGACGAAACCCAGGGCTCAAGATCAGAGTCTGTTTATAGCTAGAAGTAAAACAAACTCTGGGGAATAAACTCCTGAAGCTAGGCCATGAACAATTGTCTTGCTTGAACACCAGTGTCAGTTCAAAAGTAGGAATGACGCTGGGGTCACAAACAATCTTATCCAGCCTTTTACATACATTTCCAGTTTCCAAGTTGACATGAATAATGCAGCCCCGCAAGCCACAAGGCTCCGTAGAAGAGAGACGCAAGACATCTTGAGCTATCCTTCGAGTTAGTTTCTCAGGGACTAAAACCCTTGAGCAATGCAGTCTAGTCTGTTTTGATTTAGAGAGGCAGTTCTCCAGCATTCTAATTAGATTCTGGCACGTTTGTTCCTCAAACACCATCTCATTAAAGTTGGGTTCAGGCACTGCAAAATCCCAATAGTCAAAGTCTGCAAAGGAAAAGTGAAAATTAGAACAGACTCTCCCTACTATCAAGAAACTAGCCACCCATCACTTCTAGCATCCAACAATTGTATTTAAGTTCATTGTGAGTATCATACGCACAAACATACCATTACAAACAGCTGTGGGTCATCAGACTAAAGCCAGATCTGATGCCACTAGAAAGGACAGACAACTTGCCAGATGGAACAGAAAATGTGAAAAAAAATACACACACAGCACAATAGACTCATAAAAAATAGGAGATCCAGCTATGTTTTTCTAAAGATTACAATTCTGGCAGGCTGTCAAGAACAGAGTCAAGTTGTTCCACACTGCATGCCAAAAAAGAATCAACTTGTTTACTTTGCTAAATTAAGAGAGTCCTGGACATAGATGCATCCCTCAATTGAAATTGATAGAGAAAATGAAGCAGTTTTCACACATTGTTCACACTTCAGAGAAACATCAGTGAGTTCATGTCTTAATGGTTAATTCTAAGCAAACATCTTTAGGTCTTGCTACATATCCTTTAAGCTTCAGTTTTGCAGAAACTAGTAATGCATTCAATTTACTTATATTTTGTTAATTTTGTTAACTAATTATTGCTGCCATTTTTTTTTAAAAAAAGACTATATTCCCATAGAAAAGAAAAAGTTTCATTATTTATAACGGAATTATATTTAAATAGCTAGGTTCTGATCCTCCAGCTGGCTTGCGTGCCAATGAAGCATCAAATCTACAATATTTGTCCAGTTTCTAATTAAGACTAAAAATTCTGGAGTACATCAATATGCTTCTGAAATGCTAAGGCTTAGCACTGCCTATTCCTTCTTTCAGCAAAACTTGAAAATATTTATATTTCTAGCCTAATGCAAGTTTGGGCTGTTTATTCTCCATTATTTTTTATGATGCAAATCATGTTGATAAACTATGCTGAGACTTCTAAATTGGGTAGAAAGTGTAAAAGTTATACCTCAACCTCTTAATCCACGAATCAAGTACAATTTTCAATATTAGGCTGTTTAAATTTACTCTATCCAAAAAGTGTATGGAATTTTGCAGATAACTTTTAAGCCAAGTTCCACTGTGTGCTTTTATTTTTCTGTCTACAAAAGATGGGTAGCTACAAAGACTGCATTAGAGAAAATATTCAAAACTGTCTCCACTAAATATAGTACGAGGCTACACCTCGTGTTTTCACAGAATAATATTATATGTAGCAATCCTGGGCCAAGGGCACATTGGCGCTTGCATGGCACCAAGAGATAGGACTTCCCAAAGTAGTGGGTGCGCTCAGATGAAAATTTAACATTGTATTTTATTAAAAGGCATTATTTGTCAATGATCTTTGAAAGTCTTCAGAGGCTAAATGTGGCCTCATGGTATCAGATGGAGCACTTCTAGTTTACTAGAATCTGGATTGCTTCCTGTTCACACGTGGCCACAATCCCAGTCATCCTATCTTACTTACCAGAGAAGGATGCCTGCTGAAATCGCTGCTGTATCAGTTCAGAATTTTTATTATTTAAGCTGTTGGTTGCAACCATTCTGAAGAAGTGCATTCACCATCAAGTCCGTGGTGCACCTTACAATTCTGACTACTGTGTGAGGAAGCAAATCCAATTGACTGAGAGATTGTTAGAAGATAAGGCAGGTGAACAGGAAAATAAGGGCCATTGTCCAGAGATCTAAGCCAACCCTGCAACTTTCTTGGCAAGGAAATCGACATGCTCAATTATAACATGTTTTTCAAATCCCCCAATCTATCCAAAAAGCTCCGAAATTATCTGGCAGTCTCTCTCTCTATCCCCCTCCCCAAGGAAGAAAAAATCCAGAGCAAATACTGCTTTTTCAAGATCAAAGAGGGTCAACTAGTGGCTGACACCTGCTCAGCCACAGACCACTCCTAGGAGTAAATTCCACCAGCTTTTATAAGGGCTACTCCTTGGTAAATGAATTACACCCCATGGATCTTGTGTCAAGGGAAATACTGTTTTAAGTCCATTCACAAACACATTTTAACGTTTCATTAGAACAAACTGCATTCTAACACGTCTTTGAGTTTAAATACAAAAAAAAAAAAACTTAAAAGGAAATGGAAAAATGGTTATTCAAGTTAAGCATTCGTTTATTAATACAATCTCCAGCACAGCTCTTACCTGCGAAAAGTAAAGGAGGGAAACTTTGTTAGAACAGGGACTGCAGTGTCATCAGAAAGCACTTATTGAATAGAGAAAGGAAAAGAAAGAGAGAGAGAGAGAGAGAAATTATAGATGCGAACTTATAGCCACCAATGAACCTCCCGTCCTTTTTAAATGCCAGCTTAGACATTTATAGACTGTAACCCGCCCGCTCTCCCTCCGCCGCCGCGAAGCCCCGCCCTATTCGCCCAAGGTCCTGGTGGCCACCCCCGATTTGGCAGTCCAGCTCTCTTCTCATTGGTCGCTGCTCTTTTAGGGGCGGGCAGTATCCCGCAGAACGAGGGATTTGAATCTGAAAGAGGAGAAGCCCGAGGGAGGAGGGGACGAGCGGTGACTTGGTTGGATAACGGGAGCGGCAGAAGAAGAAGCAGAGGTTGGGGAAAGAGGCATTGAAGTCACCTGATTCACTTCTGCGGGAGCGTTTTGACCCGCGCGCTGCGCTTGGAGCTGCTTCTTTGCTCTTTTACCGCGTCCTTGAAATGGCTGGGGAAGTTTGGGTGGGCGGCTGCAGGGCTCCTAGATTCACGGGGTCCAAGTCCCGAAGCGATAAACTTCTGGGGTCTGAAAGGGAGAGGGGTGGGTCCTCCGGTCCCCGTCCCATACGGGAGGGAGATGATGCTTTTCTTCTTCTTCTTCTTCTTCTTCTTCTTCTTCTTCTTCTTCTTCTTCTTCTTCTTCTTCTTCTTCTTCTTCTTCTTCTTCTTCTTCTTCTTCTTCTTCTTCTTCTTCTTCTTCTTCTTCTTCTTCTTCTTCTTCTTCTTCTTCTTCTTCTTCTTCTTCTTCTTCTTCTTCTTCTTCTTCTTCTTCTTCTTCTTCCAGAATTAATTAGTAAGGGTGGATAGAGAGCTAATCGCAGCTGAGCACAAAGAATAAATTAGCCAATAGAAGAGAATGTCTGTAGTTCAGGATTGGGACTGTGGACACTCCTTGGTGTTCTCCGAGCTTGGTTGTTTGTTTGCAGACGTTACCTACTCTGGTAACGAAAGTCTGCAAGCAAACGATCGGAGTCAGAGAGAGCACCAAGGACTCCACAGAATGAAAGAGGTTGCTGCTGATAGAGCTGACCCAGAGCGCGTTTTCAAGGTGCACCGTTTCGGTTTTTGAGCTGGAAGAAAAGCTGAGGGACATTTTGAACAATGCCAGTTGCAAGGATGTCCAACCTGGCATGTATCGTGCATTCCAGACGTGATCAAATCACTTTTCTAGATGACATTTTGGCGTTTGCCACCAGACTTACTCTCTAATTATAACCAAAGTGGCAGCACGTATGTCCTTAGAGTAGTATTAAGTCCTACTAGCAGTGTGCTAAAAACGAGACTGTGTCAAAGGGGGGGAAAAGGATCCAGTGGCTTCTCCCAGATCTGAAATTGCTGTGCAAGCAGAAAGTCTGCACATGCTGCTGTGTCAAATGTCCTGGAGAAGTTGTGTTTTAGCCCATCTGCACTGCTTCAAAACTGCTGATTGAGAAAAATTATGTTAGAGAAACTTCTTCACTCTTTCTGGTTTATAAGCTGACTTATTTATTTTCTTTAATCAACTTGTAACCCTGCTTATCTCACAACAGAGACTTTGGATCACTAATACAGCATTAAAAACTCAGATTCAACTACTTAGAATAATAAACATGCAAAAAGACAAAAGAGGACAACAGTTGTCTGCAAATGGCATCTCAGTCTCCTGGGTTCAATTAACCTCTCGATGCCCATACCTGGGAAAACAGTCATGTTTTAAAGCTTTGCACAATTCTAAAACCCAGGTGCGTGCAAAAAGAAAAAAAAAACCCACTAGAGGTAGATCAGATAAGGAAACCAAAGTTAGGCATGCTAATACCACTTACAATATTAAAAATCTTTAATCTCCCCATTCTCTCCCTTTATTTTCTAGAGAACTAAGAGAGGTCAAGTCTGAGATGTTTTCTCAAATTACATGTCTGCCTCAGACTCAAATAGGTTTTATATGATCCTTATCTTGGTTACCACGAAGGCCTTTATAGGTGACAACCAGCATCTTGAATTACACCTGGAAGCACACTGGCAACCCGTACAGTTTTCAGAGCAAAGGTGCAACATGGGTGTATCAAGGTGTACTTGAATGTTCTTCCATAGCAGAACATTAGAGCACATTGCAGTAATATATTGGAGCTAACCAAGGCAGGACTGGCCTTGAAAAGTGCCTCTGGTTTCAGGAGAGGATGCACAAAATGAAGGCATGCAAAAGTTCTCCTAGTTGCCACCAGCTCTTGTTCCTTTTCTCCTCCACCACAAGCATTAAAATCTCATGTCCTGCTGTGGATGTAATTGCTAGGTGTGTTATTTTTGTTGTGATTATGGACTGGATATATATTTGCAAAGGCATCTGTCAACCACTGATTGATATCCCTAACCCATTTAGTAGGGGGGGGGAGGAAATAATTGAACGTAATCAATTGATGTGCGGGCTTTTTTGCACATGGAAAAAGAACAAGAGCTGCTGCCTGTCCATCATCATCATAAATAATAGCATGTGTTGTTTAGTGTTGGCTCAACCTACAGAACACAGAATAACAGACCTGGAAGAGATATTGGAAGTTTTCTAATCCAGCTCCCTGCAGGACAGCCCACAGCACTGTAGACAAATTGCTGTCCAATCTCTTTTTTAAAAACCTCTAGAGATTGAGCTCTAGAGCACTGGGCCTTCTGGAGGCTAGCTATTCCAATGATTAATTGTTCTCACTGTTAGGAAATTTCTCCTTAGTTCTAGGTTGGAGTTTCTTTGATAAATTTCCATGTTGCATTAACATGTTGCATTAATCTTGCATTGAGAGACTAACCTCATGCATTTAAGTTGCTGCACTATATAGACATAACCTGTCAGTTCAGCAAATATTCAAAACTGAATTGATTTGGAAAATAGTGGCTAGGTTAATTGTTCTTATGGTAAATTCAATTGACTATGGAGAAGTATGAGTCCAATCAAAGAGGCTATACCGTTTTTTAGATGCCTGCATTTCCCATAATTCCCTGTCAATTTCCAGATAAATAATTCCCAGTTAAACATTGCCCATGTAGCTGGGAATCTGGGAGTTTTAGTCCAACCATTTGGAAAGAACCAGATTGGGAGAGCTGAACAAAAGCACAAGAGTTGAGGTTACAAATCTCTGAACTATTGTCATTGAATTTATCATTGATGGATGCAGTCCAAACCATTTCCATGGGGCTTCCAAATTCCCAGAGTCCCAGTATCTCCCAAACTTCCATATGTTGGCTTATGATACTAGTGTATAAACTTGATTTGAGTTGTGTAAAATGACTTCCTGGATCTGCTCTCTCCCCCAGACGAATCATTTGTATAAATCTACAGTAGATGAGGAAGGACGCCAGTAACTGTCATCTTGGATAGGACCCAACCAGCTTTGTGGTTTGAGTTCAAGAAAAAATAATTTTAAGAATCTGTGAAAACTGACTGAAATTGGAGCTCTGTTATGACGTCCTCTACAAGGTTTGCAGAATTGAAAGGAAAAAGTCAGTACAGATGAGCATTAACCATTCCTATTACAACTGCACTGAAAAAAGTGACTTATGACCATTTTTCACACTTATGACCATTACAACATCCCCATGGTCACGTGATTTACATTCGGATGCTTGACAACTGACTCACATTTATGATGGTTGCAATGTCCCAGGGTTATGTGATCATCTTTTGCGACCTTCTGACAACAAAGTCAATGGGGAAACCAGATTCACTTAACAACAATGTTACTAATTTAAGAACTGTAGTGATTCACTTAATTAAATGTGACAAGAAAAATTGTAAAATGGAAGAAAATTAACTTAACAAATTTCTTACTTAGCAACATAAATGTTGGGCTCAATTGTGGTCGTAGGTTGAGGACTACCTGTAATCTCTTCTGGGTTCTGTGATGAGACAACTTACCCAGATGAGGAAACGTGCCCAAAAATTAACCTGGAGGACATGTATTATATCGGCTAACCCATATGTGATAAGTCTTTGGATTCACATGACAAATTGGAACTGACACTAAATTGGTTAAATAAATCATGTAACTGTGACCATGAAGTTGTGGAATCGAATTAACATAAAAAAACAGATGACAGATAATGAGAAAGAACTCTTGAGAACCTGGCGGGTTCTTAGTCAATTAAAGGTGACAATAATGGCTATTTTTCAGTGCTATTTCATGGCTTTTTCCCTTTCTAGCAAAGTGAATGAAGTAGTAATGAAGCTTTCAGATCTTCCAGTGGAAGAGGAATATTCCATCCACCGATCCCTGAGAAAGCAGTTTGGAGCTGACTGTTCTTGCTTCTTGATTCAATCAGTTCTTACTTTCTTCCCTTCCAAAAGCAGGGGGAATACATGGAATATAATCCAATTAAATTCCCACTTCTTACACTACCAACCCTCATGGAGTAAGAAAAATGTCACACCGTACAGAATGAAGAATGTCA